TCTTTGTTTTTAATTCAATTTTCTACCCATTTTCCGTTGTACATTTAATACAAAACAAAATAAACCGCCTTCGAAAATCGAAATGAAACAAAAATGAACAGCTTGCAAGAAATTGTTTTCACCTGACATTTGAGATCATTTCCAGACTTAGAAAGCCAATGAGAATACAGGAAGAGTTCAAGTCGACTGCGTGCTTGACACGTGCTTCAGAAGTTGCTGTCTAATAACTTTACAGTAATAATATGCAAACAGAACTATGGCCGACATCTAAATATTTCTCACAATTAAATATAATATTTTACAGTTTATCAATGAAATGCCATAACTGCATAAGTGAGAAATACCAATAGTTCGACAAAAGCTTGGAATGACTCATTATATAAAACGTCTCGGAAACAATACGAACTGACATTACTGACTACAGGTTACACTGAGTACAGAAATTTCTGCTATTAAAAATAATATACTACAAACACTAGCAGATCATCAATAACGACATTGATAGTTAACTGGGACACTGGGTCTCGTCGGCGCCGCCGCTACAATATTCGGCAGTTTTTATAGATGCATCAATCCTATTTCATACATTAATCATTATGCGAATCAACATACAGTAAATCTTAATTATCATTTGTCATATGAGACGTATGCATATCGAATGCGTATCCAAGATGGCGGAATGGATTCTGCTCTTGATCAAAATAAGTCAATTTACTTCTAAGATCAAGAAAGATAAAAACTTCTTCATGTGGGAAAAACATTTTCGAAAAGTTTCTCAAAATATTGTGGGTTAATTGAGGACTAAAAGACTTCGGAAAATGGAGTTGAATATTGATAATGACATGTAGTTTGCAAGATAAAGATTTCGCTTTTTACCCTACTTGTGACGTGACGTGACGTGACGTATGCATATCGAATGCATATCCAGGGTGGCGCACAGTAATTTCAAAAGGGACATTTTGGCCCCCAAAATGGGAGTGAAATTTTGACCCTGAAACGATCCAATTTAATGGGGCCGTTTTGGCCCCATTAAAATAGGGCCATTTTGGCTACTATTAAAGGTCCATTTTGGCTATTATGTGGGGCCATTAAGTTGGTTCTTTCACAGGGCTGTTTTCAATCTTATAATTAGAATGATGCCAATTTTAGCCCTGAAAAAACGGCCAATTTAGGTCGTATGTGGGGCTGTTTTGGCTCTTTCAAAAGGGGCTGTTTTGGCTCTTGCAAAAGGGGCTGTCTTGGTGCTTTCAAAAGGGGCTGTTTTGGCTCTTTAAAAAGGGCTGTTTTGTTGCTTTCAAGAGGGGCTGTTTTGGTTCTATCAAAAGGGCTGTTTAGGTGTTTCAAAAGGGGATGTTTTGATTCTGAAGGCAGCACTATTTTATCGTTGCTCACTAGACATATTCAAATAATCACACAATGCAAGTTTAAAAAGGTGTATTTACAATTTTAACATTAAAATATTTTACAAGATGCTGGGCATTTTGGTGTGGCAATACCCAACAATACAAAAAATTATGTGTAAATTTTACAAAAAAACGTGAGTAAAATTTGCATCCACAGCAACACATTTACTGTATATGTCATAATGCCTTATTATTGTTTTACTTGCCAGTGCTGTCACATAATGATTAAACAAGTAGCACGCCTCTCATGTACAACTTAGGTGAAACCATGAATATTTTCTGGAATCAGGAATGAGCCAATAGCATATTAGATCACAAATATAGTACCGACAATTTGTCATCAACCTTGCATTTTAGAAAGCATCTACCATGTTCAAAGATTCTTTATCACGTTGTAAAAATCCATCCTACATAATGAATGATTACAGATAAATTATTTAATATTTGTTTTCATAGGAAAAATTTGATTCACTATGGCTCCAACCTTAGCCCAAATTATAGCTAGTACATGCTAACCCAGAAATAGTCATGTACCTATATGGAAATTCACTGATATTCCGATAACCGATATTGAAGGACTGATATTTCGCCGATACTGACACCGATATTCCATATCATTACACAAAATTCAAAAATGACTGAATTGAACGATATGACAATTGTTTAGATAATTACCTCAGAGTGTAATTCGTGTGATTAGTGTATTGAGTGAAACAATATAATTTGTTAATTTATTCTTTATAGAAGTGTATAAATAAGTCTTATATGCCATATTTCAGTACTTATAGAACTTAGAACGTTGAACTCTAAACGCTTAGCGCCGTACTCGTGGAACGTTGAACCTTAGATATTCAGAAGAATCTTAGATCGAAGCATAGTCATACACTGTAAATTAAAAAGGGCCAAATCGACCCCAAATTCCGTTTCAGCCCTTTTGGGGCCAAAGCTGTTTTGGCCCTATGTGAAAGCCATTTTGGCATTGGAGAGCTGGATCTGCACCGACGGAGCCATTTTAGGTATGGAGGAAAGCCAAATTGGCCCTACCCTTTGCGTAACGGACCCATCATTTTCCAATTTAGCCCCAACAGACCAAAACGACTCTCACGTCCGGGTTTGTTTTGGCCCCACATAAAGGGGCCGCTTTTGATCAACACTTTGGCCCCTATGAGCTTCGTTTCGGCTCTCCATCGCGGAACGACTCTCGCATAGGTCAAATCGACCCTGGAATGAAATCGACCCTTTTGTCGAAACGACCCTTCTGTCAAATCGACTCTTAATTGTGTCAAATCGACCCTTCTGTCAAATCGACTCTTAAATGTGTCAAATCGACCCTTGTGTCAAATCGACTCTTAATTGTGTCAAATTGACCCTTTTGTCAAATCGACTCTTAAATGTGTCAAATCACCCCTTCTGTCAAATCGACTCGTAAATGTGTCAATTCGACTCTTCTGTCAAATCGACTCTTAATTGTGTCAAATCGACTATTAATATTGTGTCAAATCGACCATTCCGTCAAATCGACAGTCTTAATTCTGTCAAATCGACCCTTCTGTCAAATCGACTCTTAATTGTGTCGATCGTCCGTCGTATATCGTATCAAATTAACTTCCCGCATAAAACTTAAAGAATGCACATGCTCGCACTCGCAAAGAAAAAGAAGAGGACGTTTTTTGGATTATACAAGGTGAGATTTGATGTTTCATTTTGTAGGGTATTGAAATTTGTTTTCCAGATTTTTAGTAATTTTATCGTATATATAAATACGGTATTTGTAAAAATTAATCACGAGAATTGAAGGCCTAGGTGTAATATTAATGATCGCGGGAACTGGGAACGAAAATGCACGCGCCCGTAAGCAATCGGGTTTGCGATCATTCTCGAGCATGCGTACTAACTTTTGGCAGCAGCTGGGAAATTTGTTACCGCTGTGCGTAAATAGCGCTGGCAGTCGAATAAAAATGATATTTTCATATTTTCAAATTATTTTCAAAGATGCTTGGAATGCAGTTGCTTCAACGAGCAGGTTGATGTTGTTTATAAAAATTTGTTATTGAAATTGGAAAATATTGATGTGGCTGCGTCTGTCTATCTTATATAAATGCGATGACGTTGTTTTCTTGAAGAACATTTTCAAAGTTTGACAGGAGAGTGGTTTGCACGAGGCTGAACCAGTCGTGCAAGCACATGTTGTTTATGACTCGAGATCTTGGCCGACAGGTCTCGGGCTCATCATCAATGGAATAGCAATCAATGGTAGTACCATGATGAGGATTTTTAAACAAAAATGGCATGCGTTTTATCGATGATCGGCCGCGGATAGTGGTAAACGTATAAATTCGAAACTCGAACGAGGACATGGCCGAAATGCTCAAGCTGAATTGAATTCTTTTTGGCCCGTTTAGCATTGATTGCTGCAAACAGTAAGTGGAATTAATTTGATTATATTAAATAATGGTTTGACTCTTTAGTTCATTGATTCAATGAGTAATTGCTGGGAAATTGGTGAATGAAAACACTGACGCATGTGGATATGTCCAAAATTTAGCGCCATGTTGAATTTTGGTTTTGACTGAATAAAAAAAATCCAGGTTTTGCTCCAAAATATTATTTGCTCCCAGCTGTTTCCAACATGTTTATCTCCCTTTTAAAGGCAAGTTTTGTGGTTTGAAAATTCCGGTAAAGGTTGAAAATTAGCTTCGAAATTGAAGTGCACACAAACGTATATTAAATCATGGTTGTTGTTGAAATGCCTTGGACGCCATATTGTACGACTACAACATACCAGCAATAATTTAAATCGTTTCTTTGATGATATATTATTTTGTTTTACCGCAAATGAGTAGGATCTAATTCATCAGATTGGTGTGGTTAGTCGATTGATTTCATTGTTGTTTTGTTTTGTTGTCCGAGGAGAGACATTGACTAGTTTGAATTAAATTTTAAAACATTCTGCCTTCTGCGCCAAAATGATTTCCGCTGAAATTTAATATTGAAGTTTATGTCTAAACACCTAATTTGTTATTTTTCTCGTGAAAATTACGCTAAAAGGTCTTTTGGTTGAATAAAAACTGCGTGCGTCTTGGCGCCAAAATGTAACATGTCGATTTTACTAGGTCAGGTTCATGCATGAAATCGAACAGTTTGGATTTCGCGATCGAAAACAGTTTGGATTTCGCGATCGAAATATTTAGCATTAGGCGGTAAATAAACTTGTTTGCTGCAAAATGACTTTGAAATGAAATTAAGGCACATTATTTATTTATCAGACTGCAGTAGTGTGAAACAGATTTGACACTATGTGGATTTAATCACAACATCAAAACTTGCATAAAAATGCAAGCACTTTAAATAATAACATTTATTTTAAAATGTAAATTGGTATTAACATATGACTCAATGTACTAAACAGTTATATTAATTATCCAATGCAAGTTGTGAAAAGTTTCAACCATCTAATGTCCCATTTGTCTGAAGAATTTGACACCATATGGATTTAATCACAACATGAAAACTTGCATAAAAATGCAAGCACTTTAATAACATTTATTTTAAAATGTAAATTGGTATCAAATGACTCAGTGTACTAAACAGTTATAATTATCCAATGCAAGTTGTGAAAAGTTGCAACCATCTAATGACCCATTTGTCTGAAGATAGTAAAAAAAAATCATCAATGTTTTTGGATCTGCAAACTGTTATTATTCCCCCATTCTGTCCATGTTCATGGCTGTCGAAAACTGCAACCTCTTCGTTATCTGCTAGCAATGCCACAGACTTATCTGGTGGGAAAATTAACACTCCGGCTTGTCTTCCTTCACACTGCAGCAGCTGACATAATGTTTCATATATGTCTTCAGCATAGAAGAATCCAAGATCTTTGACCATTCTAAGCTTCAAATCCACAATTTTCTTCACAACGTCACATACTTCCAGATTGGGTTGGTTACAAAGGATCCGAAGACCACCATACAGCATATTTCCTGTCATGATTAACTGCTTGAACTTGTTGATTGCATTTCCTAGCTCAGCATCTAATGGGATCTCTAATTCTCTCTTAAGGAAGCTCCTACAACATAGTGCTGCAATGATGGTACATGCATTGCTTGCTAGTGTTTTCCCACATATACGGGTCTGGCAAATGTTTGTTGGTAACAACCATTCAGTTATTCCTGGGAGATCATTTCTTGTAACAACTTCAATTCTTTGTTGAGGTGTTTGTCGTACAGGTTTTGAGCGCATCTTGCTAGGTTGGGCCTCTTCCTGGGACATGTTATTCTGTGCATGACTTTGATCATTAGCAGGTCGAGTTACAACATGTTGTACCGGTACTTCAGCATGTGTTATATTTTCCTGACAAGGTTGTGGTGGAGATGTTAAAGAAGAAATTTTACTGTTTATATCATTAACAGTTTCATTGATTTTTTGCAGGTCGACACATTCTGGAATTTCTGGTGCTTTCATGGTGGTGGTGTCTTCCGTGTCTGCATCTGTGCAGTCATTGGTACTGGTTACTCTGTCATTTCGTGGATGTAAAATTGCCTCTTTAGCCACCAGTCCTAATTCCTGAACTTGTTTGGTCAACAATTCCTTACATAAAGGACAGGAAGGCGTACCATTCAAACATGTTTTGTGAAACGAGTGCCAACATCCTTGGAATAGCTGCCATGGTTCATTTGGATTGTGAACGGTGCATGATTTATTGTCACATCTGCAGTTTTTATTTGGAACTGTGGTAGCATTAAAACCGAGTGGAAGAATTATGTATTTCATCTTTATCATTCCAAATATATCAGGTAAGCAAACATATCTTGTTTTCTTCTCTGTGCTCAGGGAAGCTGATCCAGGTTTGCTGTGGATCATTGAAAGTATGCTTGTTAAGAATTGTGCACATTTAGCTTTCAGAAACTGTAGCTGCTGTTGGGAGAAATTGAACTGCTTGGGAGGGGTAAATATAGAACGGAAGTTGGCTTGTCTTTGTTTGGACTCAAAAATACTTTTGGCCCTATTTGTCAGTTTCTCAGCCGTGTCTGATGGTTTCGTCTGTGCCCGGAGAATACTGTGTGTATTTTCCACAGGATATTCGTCAAATATTGTTGGCCACTTGCAGAAATGATCATACAGTTCACTGTAATTTTTAGCCCAGTGATTGGTGCAGGACAACCATACAAGTGGTGCTTTGTTGTAATGACGACGCTTGAGGCACACGAACATCACCCATATTCTAACCATAGCATTGTAATATTCCTTAAAGTTATTTGTCTTAAAAGTTATTGTGTAAATTGACAAAACAAGTGGGAGGTAGTTATCCAGAAGGTTAAGAAGTGTTCCATATTGAAGATCTTTAGAATATTGGAACAAAACTTTAGCTCTTTCTCTGATAAGGGTCCAACCACCATAAACTATTTCTAGAATCAAATTTATTCTCCATGCCTTGGGTGTTTCTGCCAATTTACATCTTGGGAAAAGGTGACAGTACACTTTCCTAAAGAATGGTTTGAAACTCATGAAAATATGTTCTCTGCTGTTTAGTGAGATATGGAGTGGGCCCATGGTTGGAACAACAGATGTTATAGATGGCGCAGGAACATTCAACATTGGTTGGCGTGGTGTACTTGAAGTTGGACCATTGGAGGTAATGCTTCCAGAATTTATCTGAAATTTTTTTGTCTGACGGGTGACATATTCATATACTATCTGCCTACCATAAAATTGACTAGGCCAATCTCCAGGCTGGACCACAACAAACTTCTTTAGATATTTTTTCAAACCACCAGCTAAGGCCATATCATATGCAGTAGCAAACTCTTCCTTGGACTTCAGCTGCAGTTCCATAAAGTTTATCAAATGAAGGTTATCCATCGTCCTCATGTGTCGCACGCCGCTGTCATCACAATAAAGGTGCTCTTCTAGAATGTGCCTTTCTAGGTCAGGGGTAAAAAATGACTTTGTTAACCAATGAGGCATGGTACTTGCGTAGGTGCTGGAAAGCAGTGCCATTGACTCTGGAGCTGTTATAGCATCTATGCAGGCTTTGATATTTACACCCTCATGATGATGGATCTTAGAAATATTTTTTGGCTTTTTGATAGCTTTGAGGGATTTGAATGCCTTAATGACAATGGTACACATGCTCATACAATTTGAAAATTGTTGATGGTTTGGGCGCCTATTGGTGTGGATTTTTGTGAAATACATACATACATACATACATACTTTATTGTGTTCCCTAAATAGGGATTTTCAACACTGATTTACAAAAAATAAATGTTGTTCTATTTACAAGTTTTAGAATCTAGAATTTAAATTAAGGTAAAAAGGTAAGACATTTGTATAAAGTTTAACAAGGTAAAATTATCTACTTATATATTTGTTCTAGCATGCTTCGCTTCAGTTCGTTTTTGAAAGTTTTTAGGGAGTTTAACTTTTTGAACTTAATGTCCAAATCATGCCAGAGTGTAACGCCTCTATAATGAAAGGACCTTTGACCTGCAGAAGTTTTGTACAATGGTATTTGCAGTGAGTCATGGCTACGTGTATCTCGTTGATGAATGTCAGAACGCTTTGTGAATAAATCGCTCAAATAATGTGGAGCAAGTTCATTGACACATTTGTACATCATAATAGCCTCTCTTAGTAGTAATTGTTCCTTTACTGGGAGCCAATTAAGTTCGCATAAGCCCGGCGAAATATGGTCGAACTTTCCAATATTTGTTATTATCCTGCATGCAAAATTTTGTACCAACTGTAGTTTGTTAATGTTGGTAGACGAAGTGTTTGACCAAACCGTTGAACAATAGAACATTTTGTTCATTACAAGTGCCGAGACGATGAGAGTTAAAGCTTCTTTATCGAAACATTTTTTGACTCGGTTTATTTGGCACAGGGAATTCATACATGAGGAAACCAGGTTGGTGATGTGCTGGTCATATGTCAAATAAGAGTCGATTGTCATTCCTACATCTTTGGCAAAGGAGACGGGGGTAATAGTCTCGTTGAGGAAGTTTATGGTCATATCTACGGGAAGTTGTTGTAGGTTTTGCCGTGTGCCAATCAGCATGTATTTGGTCTTTCCCGGGTTAATAAGCAATTCATTTTCGGAACAACTGTTTCCAATCAAATACAAGTCTTCCTCAAGTTGTTGCTTTAAACAGTCCACGTTAGCCACAGTGAAAGATAGTAATATCTTGGAGTCGTCCACGTACGATTCAAGTTTACTATGGTGGACTGATGAGGGCAAATCGTTAGTACAAATACTAAAAAGTAAAGGTGATAAAATTGCACCCTGTGGTACACCATAAAAAACAGGGAGAGGAGTAGACACAGTTGATCCAATTCTGACTGATTGAGTTCTTCCGGTCAAGTAACTATCAAACCATTTTACAACGCTTGGAGAAGCCCCGACGTTGCTAAGTTTTGTAAGGAGAAAAGTATGATTTACACTGTCGAAAGCTTTAGATAGATCTATTAGAATCAGTGCAGTAACCAATTTCCCATCCATGGCCTTTAGGATAGTATCTCCGGTCAAAAGATTCAATGCTTCGCATGAGTGATGTTTCTTGTTCCCGCTCTGGTGGGTTGACAATTTTTTGTTCTTCATTAGATACGAACCAAATTGATTCAAGGCGACTTTTTCACAAATTTTCGAAAGAAAGGTAAGGAGAGAAAGTGGGCGGTTATTTGATGCTTCCTCGTGGTTTCTATCCTTTAACAAAGGGATAACTTCTGCCTCTTTCCATGCTATAGGGAACGAAGATGACGACAGTGAGCAATTAATGATATCGGTGAGGGACCCAAGAATTACCGGTAGGCTGTGTTTGATGACACGCATACTCACTTTGTCTTTGCCGGGTGATTTGTTTGACGGCATAGCTAATATGATGTTCCTTATTTCTGAACAAGAGACTGGGGTGAAACTAAATCTATCATTTTCTTCAGGGTAGCTGTTATCTGTGCGATTTACGTCAGAAAGATTCCGAGCTGGATAAACACTAGGATCTTGTATTAGTGTTGAGGCTTTCTTTGCTGCATTCCCACCGATGGTGGAAAAGAAATGATTAAACTCTTCGGCCACTAATTTCGGTTCCTTACTGTAGACCACTGACTCTCTTTCCCTATACGCTATATTTTCTTTAATTACCTTCCAACGTGACCCAGTATTGTTTCTGTGTTGCTGAACTTCCTTCAGTACATATTCTTTCTGTGCATTAACAAGTGCGGTTTTTGTAAAATTGCGGGCCTCTCTGAAATTAAGCCAATCATAATGATCACGTGTTTTTCTGAAAAGACTGTGGAGCTGGTCTCTTTTGATCATGGATGCTTTTATTTCCGGGGTGATAAATGGGCAAGATTTTCCGCGTACTTTTATGGTCTTTACTGGGGCGTGTTTATCCAATGTATTTAAAAATATTTCATTAAAAATGGTTAGTTTTTCATCAACATTGTCCATTCCGAAAATGGAAACAAGACGATCACGGTTGGATGCCAGATCGATCGCGAACAAATCAGGGTCGTATTTATTGTAGCTGCGGGTAGTGATATAGTTTGGTGGAGATTTGTCGGTTTTAAGTTTTAGTGATACATACACAGGGAAATGATCGCTGATACAGGTTTCTATGACGCCGCTGTTGACTACTAGTCTTGGCGATGATACGAAAATAACGTCGACGAGGGTCTGACTGGATTCAGTAATTCTTGTTGGTGATTTTATTAACTGGTTAAGGTTGAGTTCTTTTGTCGTCTTCATCAAAGACGCTGATCCAGGTGTGGGCTTAAGCATATCGCAGTTTAGGTCTCCAAGAAGAATGATCAACTTTCCCATCGTCAGGGCATGAACATAATTAGGTTTAAAATATTTTTCGAAGCAGTCAAGCGGGCTGTCTGGGGGTCGATAAGAGACACAGACCAACAGTGATTTAGATTTTTTGTGCTGTAATTTGATCCATAATTGATGGAAATTCGTCTCGGAGCACAAGTAGCCATTCATTCTTTATAGCTTCAGAAAAAAATGTTTCTAGGTTGTTGTGGTGATCATTTGACAACTTGTTGAGCTTGATATTGCTTGTTTTTCGGCTGCAGGTATTTCCAAGTTGGAATTCGGTATCCATACCTTCTTGGTTGACATTATTGGAGTTTAAATATATTGCATGGTCTACTTGCATGATGTTGCAGAGTTGGCTAAGGCAGTAACACATTTTGTAAATTATGCAAACTGTTCTTCTTTTGTTGAGTTCCTGTCTGGAGCTTGAGTGCCGCTCACTGCTAACAGACATTAGAATGTGATTGAATATATTCTCGGCTCCGGCTAAGTGGCAAAATTCAGCAAATTGATCTGGGTTGTAAATTGGGGGGTGTTTTTGTATTATGAATTCCTCATAGATTTTCTCTTTTACCCTGTCAAGCTCATATTTAAGGTCACATCCTGCAAACATACATGTCCAATACTCCCGCATTTCACGACTCGTTACAAGTTGTCACGAGTCGTGAAATCCATCGCAAGGTACAAGTCGATATAACTCGTCACGAATTTCGTCACGAGTCGTAAAAACGCAAAAATAGTACCGGGTATCATCTCTTCTGAATTTACGAACTTGCTTACATGAAGTTTGCACTGCCTAGTCTTCATATGATGTTGTGCTGATGTGGTTCACGAATTTCGTGACGAGTCGTAAAAAGGCAAAAATAGTATCGGGTATCATATCTTCTGAATTTACCTTTCCTGTATAATCCCTGCCGTAATATATATTGATGCCTGTTCTTCAAAAATGCAGTCTACAAGTATACTTATACTTCGGCATTTTTTGCTTCCTTGAATTTGGTATCTTTATATAAAGAGTATACTTTGGCATTGAGCGATTGCGCGTATGCAGTACGTTTGGCATTGCTAGCTTCACTCTAGCTTCACTGAAGCTTGTATATCTTTATATTTCCCGAGTGCTCCTTTATATATCGGTTAAACACTTGCATGTCTGGTGATAAAATCCTAAATAAGCCATGTCAGTGAATATTCTATACGGTTGTGTAGAATATTCATGCATTATACAATATATATATATATATATATATTGTGATCATGCCTCGTTCTTCAAAAACCACTCTGCAAGTATACTTTGGCATTGAGCGATTGCGCGTATACAATTTGGCATTGCTACTTCACTGAAGCTTGTATATCTTTATATTTACCGACGAGTCGTAAAAAGGCAAAAATAGTATCGGGTATCATATCTTCTGAATTTACCTTTCCTGTAAGCCCTGCCGTAATATATATTCATGCCTGTTCTTCAAAAATGCAGTCTACAAGTATACTTATACTTCGGCATTTTTTGCTTTATTGAATTTGGTATCTTTATATAAAGTCATATCAGTGAATATTCTATACGACTGTATAGAATATTCATGCATCAAACGATATATATCTATATATTGTGATCATGCCTCGTTCTTCAAAAACCACTCTGCAAGTATACTTTGGCATTGAGCGATTGCGCGTATACAATTTGGCATTGCTAGATTCACTGAAGCTTGCATGTATAACGCCGGATTGCGCGTATACAGTTTGGTATTGCTAGCTTCACTGAAGCTTGTATATCTTTATATTTACCGAGTGCTTATAAACACTTGCATGCATGGTAATAAAATCCTAAATAAGCCATATCAGCAGTGAATATTCTATACGATTGTAAAGAATATTCATGCATCATACAATATATATATATATTCTGATCATGCCTCGTTCTTCAAAAACCACTCTGCAAGTATACTTTGGCATTGAGCGATTGCGCGTATACAGTTTGCCATTGCTAGCTTCACTGAAGCTTGCATGTATGTCTTTATCATTTAACGAGTGCTCCCTTATATATCGGTTAAACACTTGTATGGTGATAAAATCCTAAATAAGCCATATCAGTGAATATTCTATACGGTTGTATAGAATATTCATGCATCATGATACAATATATATATATTCTCATCATGCCTCGTTCTTCAATGAACCCAGTATGAAAGTATACTTTGGCATTGAGCGATTGCGCGTATACAGTTTGGCATTGCTACTTGCTAGCTTCACTGAAGCTTGCATGTATATCTTTATATTTAACGAGTGCTCCCTTATATATCGGTTGAACACTTTCATG